CCGTCTCTGTTACTTGTTCATGTCCTTTATTGCCTGCCTGTATTCCTGCCTGGGCTACGCTTGGATCTCAGTGAGTAAGGGACCCAAAGAGCGGGTGAATGCACGTCCTACAAAGCCCCCAGCTCTGCACACCAACTGGCTTATATGCAAAATCAAAAGCAAATGATAATGTTGCTGGTATTTCTTTCTTGGAGAAAACAAATACAGTAGGACAGGGTTAGGAGTGCGAGATCCTGATTTTGGTCTTTGTATTTCCTCATGGAAACAAAATCGGGGTTGAATTGTGTGGAAAGTCTCCTGTGAGCAAAACGAAGTAAATACAAGTTGACCTCAGTATCATTTGGGGTTACTAAAAGAGCTGGGTTTCTCACTAGAGGAACGGAGTAAAAGCTTGGGTTTTCTTCTTATTCTAAATACTTGTGATTTTGTGGGGCTGAGACAAGATGTGGGCCTTGTACACACCTCTCAACACTTCTGTGACATCATCAAAACCCTCTTCACCTTCCTTTTGGCTGAGCTCTCAGTTAAGGAAATCACTGGGCCCAGCCTTCGTTAACACCTGCACAAAAGCTGCTGAGACCTTCCGACTGCTCCGTGAGGTAGTTAAGTTGTGAGCACGGTCTGGTATTAATGAGCCCAGTGGGAAGGAAATGCTTCCTTAGTTAGTAGGGCCAAAGCATTATCTGCCCTTACAAAGCAGGGTGAATTTATACCCAGAATAAACAAGGGACAGAGGTGGTGGCAGGTGTTGGATGGATGATAAGGACTACCACTAGGTGCTCAGCCTCATGGGTCTCCTTGAACTTTCTCCTCTGAGGTTGGCTGTCCAGGATTCAAAGTGGGCATCAAATCAAATACTTAGGTAGGTGAGGAGGAGAGGCAGCACTGAGAATGGGCAAGCCAACAAGATGAAATACTGGGCTCACAAATGCATTCAGGGTGATGGTCAAAACATTTAACTGGCTTGGGGTGAACCCAACCAACGAGGATTGTGGAGTGGAACCACCCCCTCCGGGCTGCATGATGTACACTGGCTGACTGTAAGCCCTCACACACAATTTACTCAGATTAACTGTATGTATATAAAAGTCACAAGTTGCGACTTTTATAAAAAAAAAAGAAAGAAAAGAACTTTAAAGAGATTTACTCTATGCTCCCCGAGCCTCCTCAGTCCACGGATCCTACAGGATTGTCCCCAGCCCTGCACTTCATCATTGTCCTTAGTCAGTCTCATGCTCCTCTGCATTACACGGATAATAACACTCTTGGTTTGAGTCTCGTTCAGGGAAGCAGCTTCGCAGTCAGCCAAACCCAACTTGAAATCCTGCCTTTATAATTATCACTCGCGGAGAATACGGAAACTTTCAAACACTTAATATTTTTAATCTGCAAAAAGAGAACACAATTCCTCCAGCACAACATTCTTCTGAGAGTAAAATGGATCTTATAGGTAAAGTGCTTAGCACAATGCCTAGCTCATAGAGGCTTTCCTTCTGATAGATCTGATATTTCAAGTTTATTATGTCAGATTGTGTTTGGTTATTATGTAATTTTACATGTGAAAAAATGTGTTTTGGAAGCAAAATCATAGTCTAAAACCAATACCAAGGTAAGAAATATGAATCAATAAAAGGTTTTCTAAAACAGTAGAAATGATTAATAGAAAGCCATAATTGAAATACCAAGTAGGGTATATTCTTGTGTATTTGTGAAATAGGTCATCTAGTAAATTCTATTCCTCTCATTCAGATTTGAGTAACCATACACCTAAAAGACATCAAAACTATATTTACTTAAAAATATCTTGTAACTGAATTGGCTTAGCTTTGTCCACCTCCCCTGCACACAATTACTTTGAAATTATTAAAATTTTACTTTACGGGCTGGGGATTTAGCTCAGCGGCAAAAGCGCCTGCCTGGCAAGCGCAAGGTCGTGAGTTCGGTTCCTGGTACTGGAGAAAAAAAAAAAAAAATTCACTTTACATAGAAGACCATTTATAATAGTGTTATGTATCTGTAAAGCATTTTTGCATATTTTACCCTGCTTAATCCACAAAAGCGGGATCCAGCAGTAAGTAGGAAAATAATGATCAGAAATCCCAAGACCAGACCAGTGTCCAGTTATAAAAGAAAAAGTACAAAGGTGCTCCCACCCTCTCCCATCCTTCCTGCTTCAGCCTCCACAGCCACATCCAAGGTTAAGGTCAGAACGAGTTGTATCTCATTTCTTCCCTTAATTCCATGGATGGGAGGATGCTGGGAGACAGGAACAAGGAGAACATGAAGTAGCTTACAAAGCAGAAGCAGAGGAGACTATTGTCACGGGGAGGCTGGGCCATACAGCACAGTATACAGGCCCAGTTTGCCATGCAAACAGACAAACAAGGTGTTTCAAAGTACAGCTGACCTCTCGCCCCCCACCATCTTTTCTTTTACTTTTTTTTTTTTTTTTTTTTTGGCTGTATGTCACAAAGTTTTGCCAAGGAAGAAGTTTGCCTTTGGAGGAGACTCATTCATGTTTATCTGAGGAAGGAGCTTCTTCCCTTGGCATATGCCTGGGAGTTTTACTTCCCAGTTTCTGAAAAAGAGGGAAACAATTGCTGGCTGACTGATATTAGAGGGAGAGTGTGCTTGGGGGGTAGGTTCTGAAGATGTTGACTTACCATATATCAAACAATTCAACTTGAAAAAAGAAAAAAGGAGATCTAACATTCAAGGTCGTAGGCTGAGGGTTGTTTTTTCAGATGAGCCAACACTTCAAGAACTTGTGGAATCTGGTAAATCTCTATCCAGGAAATAGCCCTGGCCTTGGAAGTTGGCTGTGTGGGTGTTTTGTTAAGAAAGGTTCATTCAGATCTCCTATCAATAAAACTAGGGTTTTGTGTTGGCTGATGGAAAGCCAGGTACCAGAGCTCCTTTCTTGGGTAAGGAGACCCAAAAGAGCAAACAGAAATAGATCAAAGATCTAAATATTAAAATATAAACACTGAATCTATTGGAAGACAGAATTGGTGTAGGCAAAGACTTTATGGACAAAACCCTGATCATGCAGGAAGTAACAAAAGGAATCAACAGATGGGATCCTCTTATTAAAGAGCTTTTGCATAACAAAAGCAACCAAGAAAGTGAAGAGACAAACTACAGAGTGAGAAAAAATTTTGCCAGCTGTCCCTCAGACAAAGGACTAGAATCTAGAATATATAAAGAATTCAAAAATATCAGATCCCTTCAAATTTAAAGACTCAGTCTAAAAATGGGCAACTGAAATGAAAAAATGACAAATAAATGTATGAAAAAATGTTCAACATCATTGGTCATTCAAGAGATGCAAATTGAAACAATACAGATTTCATCTCACTCCAGAAAGAATAGCTATTAACAAAAAAAATCAACCAATAACAAACACTGGAGTGGCTATGGGGGAAAAGGAACCCTTCTCCACTGCTGGTGAGAGTGTAACCACTGCAGAAATCAGTGTGGAGACTGCACAAAACACTAAAACTAGGGGTTCCATTCAACCCAGCTATTCCTTTTCTTAGTATCTTCCCAAAATAATTAAAAACATCATACCACAGTGGTATTTGCACACCAGGGTTGATAGCAGCACAATTTGTAATAGCTATATTGTAGAAACAGCCCAAAGGCCCATCAATGGATGAATGGATAAAGAAGATGTGGTATTTTTATACAAAGGAGTATTAGTCTGCCATAAAGAAGGATAAGCTTGAGGCATGTATAGGTGAATGGATGTACCTTGAGACTATACTCTTAAGTGAAATAAATTGGACACACCCATTTAAATATCACATTGCTTCTCCAGTGTGAGAAACCAAAAATATAAGTAAAGACCAAAATATATAATAGATATTAATAAATGGGTAGAAAATGTTCAAACTGGAAGAGGAACAAGGCGGGGTGGGGGAAAGGAAGGGACTAGAAAAAAGTGAATAGGAGGAAAAATGGAAAGAAAGCTTCTGCAGATAAGGAGGGGATGAGAGGGTTCAGGGAGGGGAGTGGATTAAGGAACAAAAGAAGGATGAAGATACTAATCCTCTGTGATGAATGTGATCATTATGTATATTTAAAATGTATCAATAAGATTAACAACAAAAAGGAAGTGAATGGAAAAAACAAGAATTTCAGTTAAGAAAGTGATTTGAACTTAAAAAAAAAATAGAAAGGGCTGTTCCGGAGATATTCATGGGCCAAACTGAAAAGATTTGAGTCTCCAAACAAAAGAGCCCTGACATTTCATTTCTGAGAGCTCCCCAGTCCATGGGGCTGTAAATGCAACCCACTGCCAAAATACAAAGATTTCTAAGTTGGGCTGCACTTAGCAAGGTGGTCCAAGCTCTTCCAGCGGAAATGTGCTCCTTGACACCATGTGAGAGCTATTATGTAATAACGCCAAACTATAGACAGGGTCTGACTTTCAGAAGACCCTCAGTTGGTTTGATAAACACTGGCCCAAGTTTCGTCTAGGTCCCTAGAGAGCTCCCATGAGAACGTAGGCTGTCAGCTGGGTTCCCAAGCTCCACGTCAGCACTCCGGACAACGTCTGGGTATGTCCTAACTGTCCTTAGAGAAGCCAGATGTCACTTAAACCACACTGATCTACGTAAGCACTAGCCCTGAGGAGTCTGGGCTCCTTAGTTTTTCCTCTTGTGGCTTTAAGATGAGCTCATTTTTCTCAAAGATGCAAAGGGGATGAGGGGAGACCACACATTTTGCCTCACGGTCTGTCCAACGATCAAGAAAGAAAACAGACCTCAAACTCCCCAGGGATAATGCAAAAATAAATTCTGTTGACCTCCCAGACATAGAAATAGCCTGTGTCTCTGTGAATTCTCTAACTTCCAAAGGGCTGGGAAAGCAGGAGGACAGCTCTACCCCTGGCTGCCGACCACAGGGCAGGAAGAGACCCCAGGCAAGCCCTCACCCACCTGCAGCAGCTGAGCTGTGGCCTCTTTACAGGACCCCCGCAGGGCCCAAGTACTCACTCAGGGTTCGGATGGTGTCACTGGGATGGCTGCGCGGACTGGAGCCATGGGCGTTCACGGCCCTCACGGCGAACTGGTAGCTCGTGTCTGGAACAAGGCCCTTGATGACCATGGTGTCCATCTGGAAATGTTCTTGGATTAAAGTCCAATTCTTGTCAAAATCTGGCCTTTATTGATGAAAAGGAAAGAAAGGAAGAAGCAGTAGTTTAGAAGTACCATAGGGAAGGGAAGCTAGCTGGTTGTATAAATTAACTTTTGAACGCTGGAAGCAATATTCATAAAAATGAGTTAATATTTCCGATCTGAAAGTGGTCCTGACCTTAAGTCATAGGTCATCATCTGTAAATTCCTGCCAATAAAAGCAAGTAGGCCATGTTTAGGGCTAGGTTTAGGCACTGTTTAGAAACCATACAATTTTCCTTGCACAGCCTTGAACACGATGAACCTCCCACGTACACACACAGGAAAGTTCATTTTCAAGGACTGTACTTTCCAGATGTTTCATAAGCAAGCCTTTCCTTGGCAGGCCCAGCCACAGAGGTCAGGGGAGCACAGATTCCATGTACTCACAAGCTGTTCACAAATAAACAAGTATGAGTTTTATAAGGTGAGTGACTGTGCAAACTGCCATGGGAAAGCCCAAGAAGAATCGGTTTGTGGACATTCTCACACTTAACAAATTACCTATCTGTGCCCAGTTGCTGAGTTTTCACATGTCCTTCCTAGGATCCTAAAGAGAAGCAGACTTTTACTTAGAGTTTCTTCCTAGAAAGTAATATACAGAGGGTAAGAGTACAAGCTTTGGCGTTGGACAGAGCTGAGTTCAAATCCTAGCTCTGCTCATTACTAGGTGTTACTTAACTTCCTTAAGTCTGTTTTCCCATCTGTAAAATGGGAATAATAAAGGAACCTCCCTAGCAGGATTGTCATAAGATTAAATGAGATACATCCACAGGATAGTGCCTAACACCACACTGTAAGCACTCAACACATCTATGCCATTATTTACAGGCCGTACCCACTGGGAAGCCAAAGCAGTCCTCTCACCCTATGTGTGCTCTTGCTCACACAGTGGCTCAGCCCCACGAAGCTAGTCAGCGCCAGAAACGTGGCTATTCTGAATTAACAGGTACTGTCAGTATAAAATGTACATTGGATTTTAAAGGAAAAAAGAAACAAATATTTCATTGACAATTTCCATTTTGCATACCTGTTGAAATGATAACATTTTAGAAACAGCAGGTGACAACAATTTACTAAAATTAATTTCAGTTGTTACCTTCTTGATGCCGCCGTGAGAAAACACAGCTTTTCAAATAGGCTTGTATTTCATCTCTATTGGCTAGCACTGCTCTATACAGGGGGAAGGGGCAGGGAGAAGAGCACTGTGGGTAATAAGAACTGGAAGATGAAAGTTGGAAATGATAGTGTGTACATAGCTGGAAGACAGTGTGAATGGACTGACCAGAGGGTTTGTGTTCATAACGAGTCACAGTGACCACTTATAAGTGCTTTCAAAATACCAAGCATTTTTCTTTTGACAACTACCATATTCAGTAGGTACTAATATTAAGCCCCCCTACTGCTGTTGTTTTAATACAGAGGAAAAAAAACTATGGTAGTTAATGGGTAAGTCCTTTGTCCAAGGTCACATAGCTGAGAAACGGACTGGCTGAGTCGGATTGTTGGGATGAGGTTAGATTAAGAAGATCCTTGATACCAGATAAAAATGAGGGTGATAGGTGGGGCTACTCTCCCTCCTTTAGCTTGCTTCCTGGATACTTCTCAGTTGTCCCACTGTTAAACACCTCTGTTCACATAGAGGATTTAGAGGAATGCTGGAAGCCTGTGTTTGCCCTTTATGAACAATCTAGGCAAGGAGATAAAATTTGTTATGCTAAAAGCAGATGCCTAGATGAACCACAGATTTCTTTAACATGTGCTTGCCTAAATTTTCATTAGGAGGAATTATCAAAACCTTAGTAAATAGATTCTTCTTCAGGCTCACCAAGCTGAGCAGAAGCTCGTGAAGCTGTGCCTCATAAGAATTCATGCCCTGGGAAAAGGGAGAGTTCGTGGGGCATGTCCCCTGGGGGAGACAGGGCTGCCCTCTCTTCCCTGATACTCTCCCTAAAGATGGACTCCTCATGTAAACAGGCTTTATCATCAAAGGGAAAACCTCGGTGAGCTAAAGGAAACACATTTACAAACTCAAATTAGAACAAAATCACTTCACACAGGAAAGCCACAGGGGATACCTAAAAGTAAAGTAAGAAAAGATGCGATCTTTAGATAAAATCCGCCTGTTATCCTTTGCTAAATTCCCTTGTGATATTTATAGAGGAAATAACTCATATCTGTTCTCACAATGTGCTGTTGTTTACCCATGGCTATCTGCAAGTATCTTCAACAATCTTCATGTAAAAAGTTACAGGAAAAAAAAGGAGGTTTTTTTCTGGATTTGTTGTTCATTAAATGCAGGAAAGAAAACTCTATTTTCAGTGAATAGGAGATTGACATTATTAACATTTAATTCAATTATTTAGAATGAGAGAGAAAAGCTCATGCAGATGGAATACCAGTTCAAAACCTTTAACATTTTGCCCCTAATCCTGTCATGGGTTTTCTATTTGAACGGTTTCAGTCTCTCGAGATACAAAAGTGCAGAGGTGAGGGTGTGAGAGAGATAACCAGGCAAAAGTATTGTCTTAAATCACCCTCCACAATAGCTTTATCTTCTCTGACTGGGGAAAATCATGGTATCCTAACTACAAAGTTGCCAGTTAAATCACCATAGCAACACTATCCTGGCACCTTCTCAACAATGGAAAGGCGTGGGCCAGGGAATGACTGAGAAAGTGCTGCCTTCCCAGGTAGAGACAGACAGTGACCAGCGGGATGTGCACTTCAAGGCCTTTTCCAAGCACAGTGTGGGACAGGCTTGGTTCAGGCACCCTACACCTGGAACACATCGGTAGGGGACTTAGCACGAGGTCTACTCAGAACAGCTACTCAAAATCCAGTTAGTCAATTTAAGTAATTAGGGCACATTCTCTGGTTACTTTTGGTGACAAGAAGCTCTTCTCATTTAGCAATGTTAGGATACACTCTGGTTGCCAGCCCTGGGTGGAATCTAAGTTATCATTTGGCCCAAGTGTCTGAGAACTTCCAGAAGTTATACACAGGTTTACTTACTTCATTTTTCTAAGCAAAATCTCTTTAGCTTTTATCTGATTCTCAAAGATAATCATGATCCCCGAGATCATGAGACAGTAACTTATATTTTAAGAGACAGCAACTTATGTTAATCTTCATTCTATACAAGTGGACACAGAAGGAAAGTATTCCCCAAACTCACAGAATCACTAGGTAGTTTTATTCCCATTCTTGTAGAATTTTTATTACTTTGCCCATTCCAAGCTAAACCTTAGTGTACACCTATTTTTCTTGGTATCATCAAATCCAGCAGGTGGATGCCTTGAGCTAGTCAATTAGCAAATGGTTAATTATTATCAAGCATGCATTCACCACAGAAATTATATTCTGGGAGGCTCCTAGGAAGTATAAATACAGCCCATTGTTATGGAGTTAATAGTCTAATAATACACCTAAGGATTGGTGCAATAATAGTACCTCTAAGAATCAGTAAGAAACCAGTGCAAAATAGCAAATTTCAAGAGTGTATTTGAATGGCTACATGAACTGAAATCCTGAAGAAGCCTACGAGAACCAAGAAGAATCTAAATTAGCATCTGACTGTATCTGAATTTGGATAACTAAAAAGAAACTGATAATTTTGGGGTGGAGGATAGACTCACACAGTATTAACTGTGTGTGGTGTGAACATATTGTGTCAACTACTTGCACATACCAAGTGGGATGACCAAAGAGAGTGAAACAGGAATGACCATGCCAAAGATAGGTATACCATATAAAAGCATTGGCCATTCCTGTGGTAGGTAAGTAAGTATACAGTACCTGAGTACACACACACTTAAGGCTTCCCTAGTCAACTTCTGTCTCCCGAACTTGCCACATTAACCAATGGTCCACTCTATTGCTACCAACTGAACGAAATTCCCAAACCTGTTTATGACTTTTGTACTTGTTATTATATTTAGCATGGTGTAAAGCAGTGAAATGTGAACAGAAACATGAGTGATAGCTCTGTTAATTGTTTTTGAGAAACTTGAAAAAGCTGAACTACTTTAAAAAATGCCTGTAAACTAAGTGAAAGCAAGGTAACTAAAAGAATGGGGAAAGATTACCAAGCTTTAGGATTCTGCACCCAGCTTTGCAAATGACTTTATGATTCTGGTTCGATTAGAAAAACCATCAGTAGTAAGTACAGCTAAGACCTTCTAAGTGGGTTTTTGTATGAATACTAATGTGGCACCTCATTCGGTGGGTCCACATCTAAAGAGAAGACCTTAGCCCTACGTTAAGAGAGTGGTAAACTGATGTGCATGCATAGAATTCATCTTAAAGTAGTGTTTAAGGTATTATGTATCATTTTAAACATATAATTTCTGACTTTAACTGACTTAAAAGACTTTAACGCTCACCAATAATTCCAACAGTGTCAATCAAGGACTTCTAAAGTAAAGGAATGGGAAGTCTATAGATATACTCACCTGTACCTGAGATACACGAGTACTTGTGTGCAAACCACACAGTGAGAATTGTAAAGAATAACTATTTTTTCTAGATGTTCTGCCTCTAAACCAATGTTGAAAATAATTAATGAACATTATCTGACAGTCATTTCTAAGTTATTAGCCCGCCTGGAGCACCTATATGTTTCAAAGAGGCTCAGAGGGCTAAATAGGCAAATAAGAATGTGGCAAGGACAATACAGTGGTTAAGAAGAAGAAAAATCAGATAGGGAAAAAAAGTCCTCAAGGTGATGAAGAAGGCTCAACTCTGCTCCCTTACTTTTAATTGGAGAAGTCTTTGGAAAGTCAAAAACATTATAGAGGACCTCAGCAGTCCAAACTCAGAACATGGAGTCAAAAGCATTTATATTTAAAATAACCAGAAGAACTTTAGGGGATGCAAACAGTTGCCTGGGACATGACCTCCCCAAATAAGACCTACAGAAAGAATAAAAATTCAGAATGATCTCAGTCTATAGAGAGACAGGGCAAAGCCAATCTGAATGAAATTT